ACGCTGTGTACTGAGGGGGTGGGAATGATCCTCGCTTTAGAGATTTGTTTCCTCTTTTGAGCTACGGCATCCATAGGTATAGGTCAAGTTCATCGAATTGTATCAGATGACTCTTTTTTCCCCTCTTCCTTCTTCTTCTAGTTGAGCTCTGATCATCCATTCATTGAAACTAGGTCAAGTGGGTATTGCCTGCAAGTGTGGGTGTTCTTGTGCATATGCCCTCTCTTCTTATCAGCTGGATGCTTCACTCTCCACTCTAGTCTTCTGTGGCTAGAAAGTGACATCATTACTTTTTACCATGTTCAACATTACTGTTGTTAGGTACCTCCTATTCAGTTGCTCCTCACAGAGGCAACCCTGTGCAGAGCAGAAGGAAACACTCTCCAGTCCTGTGCCAGCTTCCCAACTGTTCTGCTTGAACCCTTTGTTACAGCCACTGTGTCACTTTTTCCCCTTTTTTGCTGACCGTTTATTTACTTTGCCGCCAACCATGTCCTTCTACAGAGACTGACCTCTCCTGATAACTTGTCCAAAGTATGTAAGATGAAGTCTTACTAACCTCACTTTCAAGAAGTATTCTGGTTGTATTTCTTCCAAGACAGGTTTATTTGTTCTTTCTTTTGGCAGTCCATGGTACTTTTAATATTCTTGACCAACACTGTAATTCACATGCATCGATTTTTCTACTGTCTTCCTTATTCATTGTCCAACTTTCACATGCATAAGAAGTGACTGAAAATATAATGACTTGGATCAGGTACACCATAGTCCACAAACTGACATCTTTGTTCTTGAACGCTTTTAAGAGGTCTTTTGCAGCAGATTTGTATAAGGCAATGCTTTTTTTGATTTCTTGGTTGCGGCTTCCATGAGTGTTGATTGTGAGTCCAAGTGAAATGAAATCATTGTTGTTGTTAAGTGCTGTCTAGTCAATTGCAACTCATAGCAACCCTGTATCAGGTATTTGAGATTGGAAATCTTTGTGGGAACAGAAAACCTCATCTTTCTTCAGAGGATCAACTGGTCATCTTGAGCCCCCACCCTTAAAATACATGCATATGCCTTTTATTTGTTATTAAGTGCTGTCGAGTTGGTTTAGACTTACAGTGACCTTGTGTAGGGTTTCTTAGAAGAGACTGGTGGGTTTGAACTGCTGACCTTGCTGTTCACACTGATCTTTTGGTCCAGTGCTTATCCTACAGCACCACACCAGGACTCCATACCTTTCCTAGTATCCTCTTAGGAGGGCAGTTTTGGTTTTTCTTCCAGTGAAGGGAAAAGCATTCCTTGGTTTGAGCAGAGATGTGACTTGGTCTGACTACCCAGATTTGGACAGACACTTTAGCTGAATGCTGTCCTGTGGAACTTTCTGTGATGATGGTAATGCTCTTTGGGATCCAATGTGGTAGCCAGTAGCCACTTGACATTTGAGTTCTTAGCATGTGGCCAAAGGAACTGAGCATATAGTTAGTTTTATTTTGCTTTAAATAATTTAAATCCAGATTTAAGTAACTACACATGGCTAATGTACCATATTGGATAGTAGCTTTAGCTCCTCTATTGAGAATGAAGTGGCAGGGATAGGAAGGATGGAGAGAGGGAGAGACACCTGGGAGTCACCCACGTGAGAGAGGTCTTGAACGAAGGTCATAGCAATGAAAGTGGTGATCATTGTTGTGATTCTGGAAATATTGTGAAGGGAGAGCAAATAGGATTTCTTGATAGAATGGAAGATTTCCGAGTGTGAGAGAGTAGTCAAAGAACAAGTGTGAGAAAGGGGTCAAAGATAATTCCAGAATTTCCACCCTGAGCAACTGAGAGTTTGGAGGTGTCATAAGGCAGGTAAGGAAGACTCTGTAGGTTTTGGAGACACAAGGAATTTTGTTTGTTAAGTTTGAGACGCCTTAAAAAAAATTGATCTGTGGAGGCAGGCTTATAGTGTATACCCTTTGATTGGTTGATGATGCATGGAGGGGATTGTAACCATGGCTATGAAACAATATACGATAGGATGAATGTAAAGCTAATGTTCTCCCATGTAAACTATCACATAATTCACATAAAAAAAAATTGATTTGCTAAAGTCATTAATATTTTCAGCATGTCAGATTTTGCTTGAAGAGACATATGTCCTATGAAACATAGCTGGAGGACAAAGGCCGTGAGTGACAGGGTAGAATATTGTTCAACACTGAACTATAGTCTGTCCTTATGAATGTTGTCTAGAAAAATCCCTTCAGGTAACATGAGACCTTGGCATTTCTGTGGTTCCTTTTTCCCTTGGCAAGTCTAACCGAGGTCCTGGGAATTACAGATAAGGAGAAATGAGTTGGATATGCTGGAAAGAGGGGTAAGGAACAAACAGAAAAGTTCAAACTCTCCTTTTTGTTTACTTAGAAAGGGAGCTTACTCAGAGGGCCTTCGTGGTCGTCAAAGCCTGTAGTTGGCTGTAATTATGTTTGACTTCTGCTCTCCACCACAGAAGAAATAACATGTTCCTACAGTCTGCCTTATTACACTCTGGAATCCCTGTAGTTTTTGTTCTCTTGTATTTTCCTAGTCCACTCCAGCTGCCCCCTACTTAACACTGTGCCCTGGCATCGGATATGGGATCCATCCAGTCCATAGGTTCCCTTTCTTTGTTCTGTCTTGGGGCCACTCTGGACTCCTGGGGCGCTGCTGTAGGATCCGCTCTAGACTGCAAACTACAAGGTCAGCAGTTCAAAACTCACCGGCTGCTGCTCAAAAACCCTGTAGAAGGAAGGAACCGACTTAACCCCACTTTACAGTAAACAACAGGGCCATTTTAGTGTCTGTGGGTTAATGTGCTAGACTGCAAAGCTGGTTTGAACCACAAGGTTGGTAGTTCAAACTCACCAGCCACTCCTTGGAAACCCTATACAGGGTCTATATGGATCGAAACTGATTCAGTGGCACTTAACAACAACAACACAACAAGGTTGCTAGGGGTCGGAACTGACTCAACCGTGCTTAACAACAACAACAACATATAGGTTATGGGAATGGGTTATGGCTTTATTCTGGCTGTTAGAGGAAAAGCAATTCCATTTGAAAACCTTCCTACCTATGCCTTTACTTGTTTTAGGGGCTCCCTCTCCTTCCTCCATTTTGACAAAGATTCTTCCTTTTCCCACATTAATTAGTCCCCCTCAGACCCAAGGGGACTGGATAAGGAAACACACAGAAATTATGACCCTGATTTAGCTTATTAGAAGGCTACAGTATGCTTTCTACACTAATATTTTGTGGTAGGTCTCATTCCCTAGGGAAACATTTATACATTCTATCTGATGAGCTGTTTTGAGCTTTGGAAATGGTGTGTGTGTGTGTATGTGTATGTGTGTGTCTACACTGTGTGTCTGGAGGTCTGGCGGGAGTGGTGGTGTTTCCAAGTCCTGTCCTAAATATCCTTCCATTTTCTGTTCAGGGAAAGAATGTTATAGTCTGAAAAGGCAGACTCACTGTGCTTATCTCTGGTTTCCTTATGTTTGCTTTTCTCAGTCCTGTGGAAAACTTCTTGGTGAAACGTTTTAAGTACATTCTTGCAGTATTTTCTAACCATAAAATCTATAGTAACTAGAATGCTTGGGGGAAATGGGTGCGCGGTTAATTGAATTTTCAGGGTTACAACAAGTGACCACAAACCTCACTGTTTCCTCCCTGGTGGTTAATCTTTTTTCCCTAAGTGAATGTGTTCACATTTCTACCTTAGTTAATAGAATGTAGCAAACATGAAGGAATTACTTAGATGTTTCATGATTTTGACATCCCATTAGTGACGGCATTCTGGGCAAGAAGTTTGAATGCTTGAGCGAGAAGGCATCTGGTTCATTCTCTGTACTTTATAGATGGTGAACTGAAGTCCGGAGAAGCTGAGGGCTTTCTAATACCCATTAATGACAAATCTAAGTCCAGAGTAGTTGTTAGGAACCAGGATTCTGGATTCAGGCAGTCTGAGCCCTGCCTTTTCCACTTGCTAGCTGTGTGTCTTCCTGGTTTAGAAAGAGTCATTCATTGCTCAGTTTTCTCATCTGTAAAATGAAGCCAGTTGTAATTTTCCTGTTGCTGTTGTTAGGTGCCATTGAGTTAGTACCGACTCATAGCGACCTTATGCACAGCAGAATGAAACACTGCCCGATCCTGGGCCAACCTCACTACTGTTGCCACACTTGAGCCCACTGATGCTGCCACTTGGCCAATCCATCTCATTAGGGGTCTTCCTCTTTTCCTCTGACCCTCCCCACCTTACCAAATATGATATCCGTCTCCAGTGACTGGTCCCTCCTGACACTATGTCCAAAGTATGAGTGACGAAGTTTGGCCATCTTGGCCTCCAAGAAGCACTCTGACTGTACTTCTCCCAACACAGATCTGTTTGTTCTTTTGGCAGTCCATGGCACTTTCAATATTCCCCTCCAACACCATAACTCAAAAGCATCAATCCTTCTACGGTCTTCCTTATTCACTGTCCAGCTTTTGCATGCATATGAGGTTATTGAAAATACCATGGCTTGGGTC